ATGTGGAATCAACATCTGTGATCATCCCCTGCTTTGAACATGGGGCAGGTTTTTGTCCAGGTCTGTGTCACTGTGGAGGGTGTTCGGAGGTGGAACCGCTCTGACTGTCACAGGTAAGTCACTGAATTGATCACATTCTTTTCATTCTCTGCAAGAATATACCAAATTTTCCCTCTTTTTGGTTCTCTTTACTTTCTCTGACTTCAGGCTGACTTAGGGTCACTGTTGGAATTTAGGACAATAAGAACTTTCCTTTTTAATACTGAGCAGAACAACATGTTCTGGTGCCATTTGACATGTCTCTTCTTTCCAAAAATATGAAAAAATGGTATCAAAGACCTGCAAATTTACCTCTTTCTCTTTTAAAAAACTTTGCTTTCTCTGCTTATCTCTTTGGTGACCAAATTCACACTGGGGCAAAACGTTTCTGCTAGAGAAAAAAAATATGACAGAAAATGACTTTAAATTGTACTGCTTTGTATTGAATATTCTAAGCGTACTTTTTTGTAATTGGGCTTCTAATGGGAATAATGTAAGGAAATCCATAATGTGATCCTTTTACTTTTCATTGGGTAATCTAAGGAAGAAAGGCTCTCAAACTACTTTGTTAAAAAAAACTAAAACATGAAGATCCAGGTTGTATTTGGAAAAAACAGTTGAAGGTCCTTTGCAATTTGGAGTCACTTTCTGAACTCATAGCTTCTGTTTTGCCAAGATTTCATGGGATAACGTAGGGAGAAGGTGTGCATTTTGCACTTTACACCAGAAAGCTGTAATCTGTAGTCCATTACACTTTGAGAACTGACCTTGATGAGATCCATCTGTAATTGCCTGTAATATTTGTGTTTCATTTCACTGGAAGAAAGATTTTGCATTCTGGTAACAAAAAATGAGGCACGTATGAAGCAAGTCTTTCCTAACCAGGTTTTATATCTGCCCTGAACTCCTGTGAGGGACATTTCAGAAAACGTTTGCCTCTACTTTCTCCCCAGTGCCCTTAGCAGGAACAAAATGGAGGTGGAAATAGAGGGGAGAAAAGCTGTGAGGAGGAATTCTCCCTCAGCCCTGCTCCCTGAATCAGAATTGGGCCCTGATTTATACACATATTTTTGCTAAATGTTAGAGCAATGAATCAAAGGACTCCTTCATCCTCAGCGTTTTGGACACAGCTTGTCCTGGCAAAGTATGTTTGGTGACAGAGGCATGACGAAATTGCAGATGGTGCACGTTAACATCTTCATTTAATTAATGAAATCAAATGTACATTCTGCATTGGCTGAAGTACTGTGACTTCACATAGTAAGTCTTGATTTGAGGAGGCCCATTGAATCAGTGGGGAACTGGGTGAGTCCCATTCCTCCCTAAGTTCAGATGATTCTGTGGGACGACTCTCGTTGGGACGCGCGGCCCTAAGCAGCCGGTTTGCAGCCATGATCTCCTCTGGCGGGACCTCTTCCGTGGACTTTTTTGCCCACCTCAAGGAACTGAGTGCCTCTCGAGGGATCGCTTGGGAGGTCGTGAATCCAAACCCATGGAAAAGGAACTTCGTCCTGCAGAGATAAAGTCAGTGTTGCCCCGTACAGACATCCCATAAGTTTCCCATCGGACACGGGAAACCTAGGTCGCCATATTCTCAGGTCACACAAAAGCAGCAATTCACAATCCTTTGGAGTTGTCTTACTGTGGTTAATGGGGTTGCATTGGTGGAAACGGATTGGGGGTTGTTGCTTTAAGTGCACCTCCTAAGAGGACGGTGGGAATGGACGTCCTTGCTTTGCACTGCGGGTCCTGAGAGATGAAAAGGTAGGTTCTAGATTGACCCACCATTATTATTTCACATCAAACAGCCCGACAATGGGACGCCGCTGCTTTGGAGCAGCTGTTTGTTGTCTTGATGGGATTCCCTAGGCAGATCTGTCAGGAAACCCACAAGAATGAATCCATTCTGGTGCCACCCGTGAATAGAGGCTAACTAATCCTCTTAGCCTTGAAGCTCTGGCTACCGCTTGGAATACTTCCTTTTGTTGAACTACAACTCCCAGAATCCCTTAGCCAGCTATGTAAGGAACGTTCTTGGCTTGGGCAGAAGCAACACTCCAAAAAAGGAACTTCCCCAAGTTCTGGATGCCGTCAGACGCTTGGTATGTTTTGCTAGAGACGATCAAGAGCCCTGAGACTTGGCCAAGTAGGGGTTGTTTCATGGTGGCTTCCATGGTTGCAAATGAACTCCATTTAACTCTTTCGGAATAAAAAACCAAATGGGAGGTCAGAATAGCTATGTGGACAGTCTAGGATTCAATAGAGAGTTTCAGAATATTTCATCTGTCCAATGAATGGGTTACACTAAGTGACACCCCAAGAGAACAATGAATGTACTCTTAAAAGTATCACAGGACCAAGGAGATAGATATCTCTTCAGCATCCGGGATCTGCTGAGGTGTAAACTGAGTTTTTTCTCTGTTGGGATATCTTCTTCATGGTCCACGGTGTTTGCATTATTCTCGGAGTTGTCGTCTGAGAAAGTAACTCTTCCGAAGTGGACTTATACATGTCTGACTCATTTTCCGGTGGCTGGGTTTGAATCTAGACTAATCATCTAACTATTTTCTTCTCCTTCCTTGGGCATGAATCTAAAAGAGGCTCCCAGGAAGTTCATTCATCTGGACAAATAGGAGTATACCCCACCCCCCCCAAAAAAGGGATTGCAAAGCTTCACTGTAATCTGCCTGGTCAGAAACTTCCATAATTCCATCATATTTCTGATAATGACGAGAATTTGATTTCCAAAGCATTCTTCTAAAAAGCAGTTCTAATATTCTGAAGTAGGACCCAAATATTCTGAGCTAGGAGAAAGGTGTATATGATGGTTCTTTGGAGAAAGGTGACCAATGATGATGATGATGATGATGATGAATAACAATATGGAACCAGTAGATGTTTTCCTTGGGTCAATTGTTAGGAGGCAAAGCCCTAACCTTGAACAAATGTATTTGTTAAACGCTCCTTGTGAATCCAGAAATGTAACAAACTAGCTTGCCTACATTTTATATGCCAATAGAAGTTTTTATTCATTTATTAATAAGAATAAGAATACTGAGTCATGTCAACTGAACTTCTTTCTTATTAGGTTTTCTTATTAGAAAGGAGAATAATACCCAGCCTTGAAATTTTGGGGAGACTCTATGATCTTTTCCTAATCCATCAGCTGTCAGTGTTTTTGGCTAAACATTACCGAAAATGTTTTCTTCTCTTTCAGGTCAGCCACCTGTACCGCCGAAAGTGCATCTCTTCCCTCCATCTCAGGAAGAGATCAAGATCAAGGGCAAAGGCACCCTGGTCTGTCTCGTAGATGGCTTTCGCCCAACAAAGACTGTCCAAGTCAACTGGCAGGCTGATGGGAAAGCCATCTCCTCCGGAGTGCAAACCAGCGAGCCCACCAAACAAGGTGACAAGTATATGGCCACCAGTTACCTGACCGTCACTCCCTCAGACTGGGAAAACCATCAGAGATACAGCTGCATAGTGACGCACGACGGGAAGACCTTCGAGGAGGTGGTGAAGCCATCCACGTGTCCATAAATGTTGGAAAGTCTGGATTTGGCTCTCCCGTGCCTGGCTCTAGGGAGGAATCATGCTTCCTTCATGGGCCAAACCCTAATGCGGATTAATTCATAAAGGCACATTTCCTTCCTATGTAGTTCCTTTTCCCCATCTTCTCTCTTCAATTTCCTATCCATATTGGCTTCTATCGTTAGCACGTTAATAAAATGTTGATCCATTTCATTGGTGCTGTTTATTGGTCAAGATACTTCTCTGTGAACATGTCACCTATAGGTCTCTTGCACCCTCATACTTTGTTGGTCAAGATACTTCTCTGTGAACATGTTACCTGTAGGTCTCTTGGACCCTCATACTTCTAGAGGTGGTTCCTCAGACCACATGGGATTAGTATCCACCTCTTTCTTCTTGTTTTCATTTCTGTTTTGCTTTAATAGAAGAGACAAAATCAAGGGAATCCGGTGCACAGAAATTAATCCCATACCAGAAGGTCTACTGTCCAATTCCCGTTGACTTTCTTAATGCCATTTAAAGAAGACTATTTGCCTCCCAGGAGGCAAAGATATTTAAAGAGATTCCACAGCCTGCACGCACATTCACACACAGACCAACGATAGTCCTATTACTGAACATTCCCCTGAAAAATCAGAAGATGGATTTGTTATCAGGCTGCATCCAGGAAGGATGCCTTTCAATGGGCTCTTCAGCAATTCCTCAATAGTTTTGGGGCTGGGGAGTGGGGCAGATCCTTTATGATATAGACAATGATAAGACCAAATCCAAAGCATATTTTATTTTCCTTCTCTCCTTGCTCTGATATGCTAGGAGATTCTAACATAGCTACTTCTACCCAAACTGGCAAGAATAAGGCATTTGGGATATGTCCATTCTAGATGCTTCATAAAGTTTCTCTCGGCTGCAAGCCCTTCAACATCTTTTTAAAGAGGGAGAAATGTTGGGGTGGATAGGATAGTGCATTGCTAAGGATGTCACACAAGGACCCAGGTTACCTTGGGTTCACATCTTCACTCATACACAGATGCTCACTGTGTGCCAGCAATGGTACACCACTCCGTGAGCATCTCACATACCGAGAAAACCATACTAGAGTCATCCTTCATCAGAACTGACTTGACCTCCCAGAAAGTAACGGAAGACAATGAGAGATGGGGGAAAAGTCTAAACTGTACCTTGACTCAGAGCTTGTGATAAAGCTCACTTTCTCTCATTCAATCATACAATTAAAGTTGGCGAATAGAGCTTCTTCCAACCTATCTGACTATAGTGGTTACTGCTTTAGAAGTTGATATTTGGGATATGTCCCCATCCAAAGCTCCATTTAGTGGGCAGGAAGCCAGTCTTTATTTTGATTTTCAACATGTATTCCCCTGCAGTTAAACACAGTTCGTTGGCGACCAGGGAAGCCACCATGAAATAAGTGCTACTTGCCAAAGAATAAGAAAGGCTCTGTCTCTCCTCTAGCAAAACCTACCAAGGGGGCCCACTGAATCAGTGGGGATTTCATTTAATGAAATGGGGCCTGCTCTAATGGCAAATTACTAGGCAAAGAAAGCCACAGTTAGAGAAAACCAATTTGAATCCATGGAATTTGCAGAGAAGTTGACTCAGCAAGTCGTCATTGATTCCAGGGGTTAACTCTAGTAGGGTTTGCTATGGATTTACGCCAATGTCTTTCTTGAAGCTCCGCATTAGAACAGCTGACCTGCATATTTTCCTGGTGTGCCCACCGACACACACACCCCAGCCTTTAGCTTCAGCCTCTTCTCAAATATAGTTTTTACCAACATTGGAGGGATAGAAGGCTGAGTCAACCTTGGGCCGACTACCCAGGATAGAACTGTAGGTCGTGAGCACAGTTTTAGCTGCCCTACAGCAGTTTAACCGCTCTGTCAAGAATTCTACCTTGTTTGCTTGCCACAAATGGCCCTATATCTATACTTATAGTCCCCAATGGAATGGGGAAGAACTGTATGATGACCACCATGTGTTTTGGTCTACCATGCATTTTATCTGCGAGGGGCCATGCTGGCAGTTGTAGTCTATAAAAGTAACTTTTCCAATTTTTGTATTTCTGGAGAGCAGCCATCTTTCAACCATAACATTAGGAGCCATTGGCCATAGGTCATATCTGCCTAGAGATCAGCTCTAAATATCTAAATCCTAACTTTTCCAATTTTTGTATTTCTGGAGAACAGCCATCTTTCAACCACAACATTAGGAGCCATTGCCCATAGGTCATATCTGCCTAGAGATCAACTCTAAATATCTAAATCCAAAGGGCAAACCAAACTAGTCCAGAACCTCTGCCTGAAATTATCCATGGGCATTCTGATGAGCAACCCAAATCCACCTCTTTTGGAAAGTACTGCCATTCTTGTCTCCTGGATAAATTAAAATAAAAGATGAGCCTTAACTCTCCTCACAACCTAGTTGTTAACAGGCATCTGTAGGAACTACAATATCCATGATGCAAAGCAGTTGAGATCCAAACAGCAATCTGCTGGTCCATCCATGGGGTGGACAGGTTACGGGCAGGAAGTGGTGAGTGCCAGAAGGAAAAAAAGGGAGAAGACAGATCCACAGGAACAAAGCAAATCTTTCCTCTGCTCTTTAGCTTCTATTCAGAATGGTAAACATACTTCACTCTGGATTCCATGTTACTCGAAATATAACCCCTCCGAAACTCCCCACACAGTCACTGTTAAACAGATTCCATGTTACTCGAAATATAACCCCTCCAAAACTCTCCACACAGTCACTGTTAAACAACTGACTTCTCAAAGGGTTAAGGGAAGAGCTAACATTTATATTTACTATGTATATATCTTTTCAAAAGAAGGGCTCACATTTGTAATGCATACGAAGCTGCACTTCTTTTGTGACTCTGGGACCTTTTCTAGGAAATCTCAGTCTCCTGGACGGATCGTGAGCAGCCATTGATGCCGGTCGCAGATCTGGCAAACAATTAAGGATAATTCACCTGGACTCTCCGTTTCTCTTCTTTTCATCTAGAAAAGGACTCCTAAGGCATGGATGAACCTCATGCGCTTGCAAGGAGTAAGAGTCAGTTGTTTAAAAACAGAATTTGCCATTGTTGTGAGTTGCTATCAAGAGCCATATCTCAACCAAGGCAAAGCAGGCTAAAATGTTTTCTCCTTAGACTGATTTATTGAATGCCAACCTTTTTGGGAAACGAACACCATTTATCGGAAGAACGGTCATTTTTGTCAACTCGCCTCTTTGTGGGATTGGTGTGGACCACCTTTCTCTGTCATCAATTGTAGTAGGTTTTTGTATAGCAGCGCATCACTGTGGGGCGTCTTTGCAGGAGGAACCCGCTTGACGGTCACTGGTAAGTCACTAAACCTATCACCTACTTTTCTGTCTCTTTGACAATGACTCCATTTTTTCTTTGTTTTCTCTTTCGTTCGGGCTTTCCATCTATTGTCTATACTATTTCTTTCAATAGAACTGGATTTCTAAACCATATTCAGGCAGGTTGTTCTAATTTCATTGTATCCCTTCTCTCTTCCCAAGCCCAAGTTGGAAACCTCCTTTGATTTGGGTCCATCAGATAATCTATGAAAATCTCTCTAGACCAAGACTCAGATCCTTGCATGAACTTTTACTGGGAGGTCAACTAATGTATCAGTAAACGAGGAAAATAAATGTAGTTGTAATATCTATTCAAGCAACATGGGTTGGGAATCTACATCCTGCCCTTATGCAGGAGAACTAAACTTGACCGCAACTGGTAGAGTATGGAGACTCTAGTTGTATGATTCTTTGTTCTGATTTCTGAGCTAGGATTTTATAAAACTGGATATACAACGAAGGATCCTCTAAGGTTTCTAATTTCTCAATATGCTTAAAATCAAGGAGAACCTCTATATTTTATTTGAATGTTAAAGGTTATGGGATGGGTTCAAATTAAAAAGAACTTCGAAATTGTTTTTGAACGTTAAAGAGGATGGAAGAGGTCCAACTGTAACTCTCAATTAGAGTAGACCTGTTAAATATATTTAGCATGATAGGTCAACACCACTGGACGTTCCAGGTATTCATTGAGTCTTATATAATGTGATTCCCGCTCAGCATTGATTCCAGATATAGTTCTTGATAACAGTCAGACAGAAATCAAGGGAAATTTAGTGCCATATTCCCTTATTAAAATAGTTTTTGCTGATCTCCATTTATTTCCTCTAAGAATCTCTTAGTATAGACCAGATCCAGTGTACCATTGTGTAAGGAGACATCAGTAAAACTAAATGTCAGATGTCATGTCCTTTTAAGTAAGAGGTATGACAGAGAGTTCACTAGCATGAAGAAGAAGAAGGGACAACGGGATGGCCCCTGCTTTAATGTTTAGTAACTTAATAAATCAGGCTAGAAACTTGCTGTCAATTTACACTTGTGTAAGAGAAATCCTGTAAGCCTTGGTGGGAAATTGTTGCTTATTAATGGGTACTGGTTCCATTCTGAAAGGACATGCCCAAACAGAATATGTAATTGGAGCCTTCTAGCAATTTGCTCCCAAGACTGATGCGAATTTCATTACCAAACCATGAATCAGCAAAATTATTCTGGAAGAAATGTCCTGAGTCAGTGGGATTTATTCCCAGGTCTTGAATGTAAGACTGAAATAGAAAGCATTAGCCCAATTGGCTATCATTTGATGCGTAACAATCAGTCATTCAGGGACTGACAGAGTGCGGGCTGTACATTTTTGGAATACATCTCCTCCAGCATGCAGGTCAGGTTCTGTCCACGTCCTTACATAGATGTATGAACACCAAATAGAATGATGGTTTGCAGGGGGCTGTTCCTTCCATGGACTGAATCCAATGGTTCATCCTTGCTAGAGCTAACCCATTAAGCCAACCAGGAACTTGCAAATCCCATTCATCCAGTACTTCTCCAGGTAGAGACTGCAAAAGACCCCTGTGTGAAGTTCTGTAGTGTAGAGCCATTTCCAGATCAACAAAAGCTCTAACTATGTGAAGCTACTTCTTAGGAGCTACTCCTTTTCTTGTTGATGGGAATTTGTAGCCAGATCAATCAGGAGTCTCACTTGAAAGATTTCAATGCCCATCAGTGTCTACAGACTAGATAAACAGTCTTCAAGCTGTCACTAGAGCTTGGGAAAGTTACTTTTTTTGAAGTAGAACGACCGGAAACACCACCCATCAGCAAACAGAGGAACCCAATGGGCTTGGGTAGAAGCTACACTTTGAAGAAGTAACTTTCCCAAGTTCTGGATGTCCTAAGACTCTTGGCAGGTTTGGCTACAGAAGGTCAACAGTCCTAAGTGTTGGGCAAGTAGGAGTTATTTCATGGTGGCTTCCATGGTTGGCAATGAATTCTGAGATTCACCTTGGGAACCAAATCTGAATTCTCCACTGGAGCTGAGAGGCAGTACATGTCTCGTCCTACCTGGGAATACAGACCAGGCAGCACTCCCAGGATGGACACTTCCTTGTGCTAGAGAGGGGAAGATCTCTTCTGCCCATTTCCTTGCACCTGTCAGTCTGGCTGCCTTCTGATCAAAGCAAGAATTGAAGGAACATTGTCAACCGCAGCTGATCCACACCACTTTGACCGAATTTGGGGGACTGGAGTTGGGGGAGAGAGTGGAGGAGCAACGATAGACACATGCTTTGAATTAACTTTTTCTTCCTGGAATAATTCTCTGCTAGGATCTGATATGTTAACGACTGGAAGGGAAGCTTCCCGTATTATGTATTGTTATTTTTCATTTCAATTTTCATTATTTACAAGAACTGCTAGATAGCTCAGGGACTGAAGCATCTGGCTGAGGAGCCACAGAATGGGAGTTCGATTCCCCGCTGGCTCTTCTCCTCAGGGGTTGGACTAGACATGCCTTATGGCCCCTTCCAGATCTGAAGTTCTAAGATGAGGATGCTGCTGATGATAGTATGTGCTACCATTCCTGCAAAGAAGGGATTCAAGGCAGTACATAAACCTAAAAAATACATCTCCAAAGGACAGAAAAATAAGATCCAAATGTTGTCATGGAAACCTACATATTGCTGCCATCTGAAATGGAGAGGATCAGACACACTTTCTCTACTTTTAGGTGTAACTAATTTAATAATGGAGTGCTGTCTAGTCAATTCTCATTTATGGTGACCTTTCGTAGGGTTCTCCAGGTAAAGAATACTCAGAAGGGGTTGACCAATCTCTTCTTCTGGGGGTGCCCTGCCGGTGTAAAACTAGGGGGAGGCCTATCACATGTATTGGAATTTGGTCTAACCAACTCTCTGCTTTTTCTTCTCCTTTCTTTCGCTGTAGAGTAAAAACGATCCATGTGGCAAACAGCTTTCTTCTCTCATTCTCCTGACCTTGGTCCACCTATGCTCTTCCTCCCTTGCTCATTGCAGATGTTTCTGAACTGGATTCCAGCTTTGGGTTCTCAAGAATCTGCTCATCTCTTTACAGAGTACTTTTGTTTTTGGTACAGTATATCTTTTCCCCTCAATAACTACTCCTACTTCTCACTCATTCTATAAGGTGGGCCTACCGCCATCTGATTTCCTTTCAGAGACATGTATTTGAATTTGTCTAACCAGCTCTGCTTTTTCTTCTCTTTTCTTCTTCTTTGGTATGAAGGTAAAAGAAGAACTCAACAAATCCATCTGCTTGCAGAAAGAAAAAAGTATGCAAGAAAGGTGTCTTGCAATGCTTGACTCTAACCAGACATTTCCCCTAATTGTGATGGATCTCTGATCATTAGTGGAACTTGCTTTTGAAAGTACTGTTCTAAAAAGAGCTCTAATGTTCTAATTTTCTGAGATAGGATCTAAATGGAGGAAAGAGTTTTCTGAAGGGTGATCCTTTTGGATACATCGTACAAACCTGTAAGAAAAAAAATTGTGAATAGTCTGAATTTATAGAGGGTTTCCATGGCATAGAGGAGGTCGTGATCATTCTGTTTTACAGAGAATAAGAAGAACTCAACAAATCCATCTGCTTGCACAAAGAAAAAAGTATGCAAGAAAGGCGTCTTGCAATGCTTGACTCTAACCCATCTTTTTGAGGACCAGACATTTCTCCTAATTGTGATGGATCTCTGATTATTAGTGGAACTTACTTTTGAAAGTACTGTTCTAAAAAGAGCTCTAATGCTCTAATTTTCTGAGATAGGACCTAAATGGAGGAAAGAGTTTTCTGAAGGGTGATCCTTTTGGATACATCGTACAAACCTGTAAGAAAAGAAATTTGTGAATAGTCTGAATTTATAGAGGGTTTCCATGGCATAGAGGAGGTCATGATCATTCTGTTTTACAGAGAATGTGTCTCCAACTTCACTCAACACACCTCAGCATTCAGCCCTCATGAGGCTTCCTCTCTGATCTCTTATGCCTCTGGATTTGATATAATGTTGAGCATTAACATTTCTTTCTTTATCTCTGAATAACGTGTACATGTGAAAAGATGTTCTGGAGCAGAACACCTAAAGATATAATAGGTTTTCTGTGCCAGATATAGGCACAAGAGCCATTTTCTGAAATCTAGAACCACCTCAGATATTAATCTTCCATAGAGGCACTTCGTTCATTCACCAATAGGCAGTTCATTGACTACATGCCTTAATTTCATAGAAATATTAAAGAAAACGCTTCTTCTCTTTCAGGTCAGCCATCCGTACCGCCTAAAGTGCATCTCTTCCCTCCATCTCAGGAAGAGATCAAGAGTAAGGGCAAAGGCACCCTGGCCTGTCTCGTAGATGGCTTTCACCCAAGTTCCATCCAAGTCAACTGGCAGGCTGATGGGAAAGCCATCTCCTCAGGAGTGCAAACATCTCCGTCCACCAAACAGGGTGACAAGTATGTGGCCACCAGTTACCTCACTCTGAGTGAGCCAGAATGGGCCAGCCATGAGACGTACGCTTGCAAAGTGACACACGAGGGGAAGACCTTCGAGAAAGTGGTGAAGAAATCCGAGTGTCCATAAATGCTGGAAAGCTCAGAGGTGGCCCTCAAGTCTCTCTCACCTGGACAGAAAGAGGGCTTCCTCCCCTCAGCCATATATATCCTCCGATCCTTTCCAAATGCTACTTCAGCCCATCAAGGCTGATTTCTGCCCTATGTGGTTCCATCCCCACCTCCACCTCCATCTCTGTACTCCCTCCCCTGAAGATCCTCTGTAGGTGAGTCCCTGAGGTTATGAATACCTTAATAAAATTTGATACACTTCATTGGTGTGACTTCTTTCTCAAGGGATGAAGAACCTAAGATTAGACCTGGAATCCTGTGGGGTCAAGCCGGAGGACCTCTTGTGTTGGCCACATAGTAGAATTACAAGCAAAAACTACCCTCAACGACAGCCGAACGACACAAAGGGGAGGGATTCAAACTTTCAAGTGAATTTTGCATTCTGAACGAGAGAGACCAGGCCCTTCAAAATTCCCCACAAGGTTCAGATAGAGGTTCCACAATTCACCACACTGTAGGGACTTATACACGAGGGTACGCAGTTGTGGTCTATCCTCTACTTAGGGCGCACTTGACATAGCCTGTGTATGAGAAGAACACTGGGGCCAGAACAACGTTCAGTGGACCTTCTGATTGAGCAGACTCAAAGCATTTTTCTTCCTGAGCCCAGAAGCAGCGTCTACTCCTTCTTGTTTAAAGGACCTAATAATCCACACCAGCCAAAGGAACTAATTAGCCATTTTTGCCCTTTTCATGTGCCTTAAATCTACTTCCTCAGACAGCTGTCAGCATAATCAGAAGGACATTCCTCCTTCAGAGAGTCAAGCACCATCTGTAAGAAACCACAACCCATTTCAACACAATTTATTCTCTTTTTTATAGTATTTATTTAGGGAAATGAACAGCTTTTACTAGGAGCTGTTCAACTCTCTTTTCCAGCAACAGGGACTTTGCATGGGAAAAAACAAGGAGCGTTGAGGGTGTGCAATTTTATCAGCTTTGCTCAGAGGGTTGATGTAAATAATGATGGTAAAAAAAAAAACAGATCAATAAATGTTAGTCTCAGGGAGATTCATATGTCCTGTTCCCTTCCTCTCCCCCTTCTCACTTCTCTTCCAGAAAAAAAAAAACATGGAAATCCAACAACATGCCAAGTACATGCCTCACTCCATTGTAGTCTCAGGGAGATTCATATGTCCTGTTCCCTTCCTCTCCCCCTTCTCACTTCTCTTCCAGAAAAAAAATGGAAATCCAACAACACGCCAAGTACATGCCTCACTCCATTATGACACCACATATCTGGGAATGCACATTGTGTGCTTCCATGCTGTCCCTATGTCCCATTGAGTCATCTCCCATTTAGGTCTCTTGTAAGGTGTCCAAGCTAGATGAGATATTGACCATTCTTACTGCCAGCCACCTAACCAGGTTTCCATGGCTGAGCAGGGATGGGATTCATGAGAAAAAATAAGTGTGACGTCCACCCTCATGCCCCTTTTGCTTGACCTTCAAGCCTCAGACCACTCTCCTCTTTTCACTGCTGCCACCAGGTGATCCCTAAATCACCATTACCTAAGAAAGATTCAGGTCCTCTCTTCAAGTTCTTTTAAATAAAGCTTTGATTTATTGATACAATAAGGTACAGCAAATATCAGCATGTGACTAGAATGGAGCCTGTTCTTGCATGTGGGGTAAACTTACTTGTCTGGGCAAAATGGCAAAGCCAGCTTCCTACACACATTTGATGGATCTAGGTACAGCAAATATCAGCATGTGACTAGAACGGAGCTTGTTCTTGCACATGGGGTAAGCATATTTGTCTGGGGCAAAATGACAAAGCCAGCTTCTGACACATGTTTGATGGATCTGGACCCCAAGGAAGAATTTGAAGGTATGTCTTTGTTAAGCAGAGGACAAGCTTATAACGTTCGCAAAAAAATAATTCATGTGATGACATCTCTGCTGGGATTGTAAAATATGACAGAGGTCATCAAAGCATTCTGGAGTGTCCATGATGCCATCATGAGCATTTCTGGGGGACATCAGCTATCTCCACAGGAACATGTTGGGCAAACAGCACATGCCATATCCAAAGTGTTAGGAAATGGGGTGTCGGTCCTCATGGGAAAGAGCCAATCAGAACCTTGAATTAGAACCTTCATAATCATTATTCCATGGGCTCCAGAGCTCAATGCACTCTGAGTATAACCAGGCTAGTCTGGGCCATGGGAGACGGAAGCCCACATGAGAATTTCATGGATTGAGTTTTGACTACTGTTGGGGTCACTCAGTTCTTGATGCTCTGCAACTGTGATCAAAACACACAAGGTGATAAAGTTGTCTAAGAGTTAAGATATAAGCATCCCTTTATTAAGGAAGTCCATATTTACATGTAGAAGAACAGACCACTGAGTTTAATTAAAAAGAACCTGAGCATAGGGGAAGCTTTGCTGAGGACAAAGCCATCGGTGAGACCTTTTCCAAGATTCGCCATCAACCCCACAAGACAAGGCATTTCCACAGATCACATGATAAAGTTGTCTAAGAGTTAAGATATAAGCATCCCTTTATTAAGGAAGTCCATATTTACATGTAGAAGAACAGACCACTGAGTTTAATTAAAAAGAACCTGAGCATAGGGGAAGCTTTGCTGAGGACAAAGCCATCGGTGAGACCTTTTCCAAGATTCGCCATCAACCCCACAAGACAAGGCATTTCCACAGATCACATGAATCTCCTCATGAGACCTTTTCCAAGATTCGCCATCAACCACACAAGACAAGTCATTTCCACAACCATGTATCTCCTCAATCACTCAAGGATTAATGGAGAAAGGAACTCATCCTGTGATCAGTCCATCATGCAACTGCTGGAAAGACTCTGGATCCTTGCGGAGGGCCAAGAGGATCTTCTTTGCCCAAACATTGAACAGGTAGGTTGATCACCTGTCATCTAAAGGCACCTTCCACTAGATCATATTTGGAAGAGGGAATTGCTTCATCCTAGCATGACCAATGGATGGCCTTCTAAAAGTCCCCTCTATTGCCAGAGGGAATAGACATGACTTTTCTCTGATAGGTGACAAGGGCCCTTCAGAGCCTTGAGCAGGATTTTGTACAGCTCTGTGTCACTGTGGTATGTCTTCGGAGGAGGAACCT